GTTTCAGTTTTTTCAGTTTCATTTATTAGAATTTACTCTGTGAGCCATTCGGCTCTTGATTTGGGTGCAACCGCAACAAACAATAAAATTACAAGATACACCTAAAATTCATTGTACACAAATCTAAACATCACATACGTAAACAATAAAATCCTACAGAAAAAGCACCAACCGTCCATGCTGCGTACAAAAAGTACAAACATTTTAATTTCGATGTTTGATCCCAATAACAATCATTATACAATACAGATCAAAATTTTAAGTATACATCTATACTAAATAAAACAAAAATCGGGCCAAGCCAAGCCCCTCTAAAACTTACTAAAACAATGCTATCTAGACGACGTAACAGTTTTCCCAACAAATGTGATTAAAAGTTTACAATAGCGGCACACACAACACACACCACTGAACCTAGCGTCCTTCGCGAGCTGCATAAGTCAATCCGTAACAGCCGGATTAACAAGAGCAGTAGCAGCACACTATAATCAAAATACATAATCATTTCATACATCGGTCATATATAGCTATACATTCATAGCCGGCCACTCCTGCCTCACCCAGTGGCCGCGTGAGGTTCTTCGTGCGTCAGGTTTGCGTGCGTGCGTACGTCAGGCTAAGCCTCAAGTAATTTAGTTTGCGGAAGAGCTGAATGGCAAAATATACGCCCGTGAGCTAGCATAGAGACACCCTCCATACCTCTGAAGAGTGGGCGACCTTTCCTCCTCTAGGGGGGGGGGGGGGGGGGGGGGGGAGAGATGATTGTATTCATGGAAGATTGGCATTTCTTTGTCTCTCCGGGAGGATACATACCAAGTTTTTGGGGTTCAAGAGTTCATCCGATAGAGTTGCCCAGCTCGCACTAAGCGACGCTGCAATCTAAGTAGCATCCCAGATGATATTAAACGTAAACCATTATTATTTAAAATGAAATGAGGGACTAAGTTTGACCATACTTCACCACGTGTGTCTGTGGAGGTTGCTGAAGGGGTGGACCAATACTGGATAGACATCACTTGCCGTTCATCTTAGCCAGGGCAGAAATTTCACCGCGAGGTGACTGGGTTCAACGCGTCATCACGCAGCGGGTTGACACAGAGAGAGGGCAGCACTTTAAAAAAAAAATGAAAAACAGAAATCCAATAAACAACACGGAACTCGGTGCGCACGCGACCTTAGTCAACATCGAACCGTTGTTTCAAGAGATCACCCAAACTCGTGAACGCCGTGATGCGCGATGCATCGCTACGCGCGCGTGAGTCGCGTGTCGATGCCGGATGCACGCGCGCGAGATTTTTTTTCATCTGCGCGTGCGCGCGTAGCGTATATTGAATAAATAGTGACTGCGCTGTGAAGTACTCCTCAAGTACTCTCAGATAAGGGGTTAAGCCGCGGGGGTCACGTTTGCCTTTCGGCTTCCTGCTTTCGCAGACCGCACGCGCGTGCGAGCGTGCGAGCGAGCGAACGGGCCGCACACTCTGTAGATGGGGGCCGCCTGCGCTGTTTGGGCGACCCTATTACCGCTGTCACGCTGCAACAATGCCGCCACGCTTACCCTGTCCCGCGCGCGCATCCCATATGCCTCGCGGTGCCCCACCCTGGGACAGTTTATCGCCGCCGAAGGTCGCGGGCGCCTCGATCGCAATGTTTTGTTGTTGTCGTGTTTGTTTGACCCCCCCCCCCGCCCGCCCGCCCCTCGCCCTCCAATCCCCCGAGTTGACCCAGGCAGGGCATGACCCCCTTTTGCGAAAGGACCGAATGGCGAACTCTTTCCTCCTTCTCCATCTACCCCCCCCGCCACCATCTCACTCAATCCCTTCCCTCTCTGTCGCCCCACCCCCGCGCAGTAAATTTGCGGCTTCTTTCAGGGTTTGGCGAGCTCTCTGGCGAGGGGAGGTCACGCGTCCACTGCTTGGCAGAGTTACGGTACGATGCCAGGTGTTATCTGGAAGCAAAAGGGGTTTATTCATTATTGCCACTTGCATAGACCGGCTTAATAAGGGTCGAACACGTTCGAGTTTAGGGCATTGCCTTACCGATTTAAATACCACTATCTCTCTCTCTCTCTCTGACTTAGAATACTGCATTGTTATATATGGTCCGTTCTCCTCTATGGATGTGAAAGCCGGACAATTACAAAGGACATTACAAAACAAGCTAGAAGCAACAGACATGTGCTTTTTAAGGATGTCAAAAAGTTAATGGACAGACATAGATAAACAACATGAATGTATCACGGAGAGCAGTTGGGCACACAACCAGAACATTAATGAGAATTATTAGGGAAAGGCGGAGAGTTATATTTCTTGGACATGTAATGAGAAAACCGGAGACTGACTTTAATATTTCGACGGGGAAAGTTATAGTTACAATAGGAATCTGGGGAAGACGGCGAGTTAAATTACGCGAGCAATTTTAACAATTGGATGCAACAGGGAGGAGCATCGGATGGAAAGATTTTGAGTAAATATCATTCGCAGGGCTCAATGGAATAAATGCCATGATAGCCAACGTCTTTGAGAAAGGCCACAGAGAGAGAGAGAACGCCAGTTTGACAAATGAAGGTATTATAATCTTAGTTCTTTCAGTAAAGTCACGTTGAAGGGAAACAATTAAATAAAAAAAAATATAAAAAACAATAAAAAATCTCACGACGTTTCGACCATAACACAAACGGTCGTCTTCAGAATTTTTTTTATTGTTTTATATATATTTTATTCTTTTATTGTTTCCCTTCAACGTGACTTTACCGAAAGAACTAAGAATATGAATTACTGCAGTCACGAAAGCTTTAAATCAAATGAAGGTATTATTTGTTTTGAGGGACAACTGGGAAACAAATCAAAGAATATGCACCTCGGGTAGTTATAATTGTAAGAACACAAATTGATTAGATATAACGACACAGTCGTCCTGTTATTTGGAGTAAATATTCCTGCGTATGCGTAGGATCACACGACCTAATTTCTTGAGAACTGCTTTTGGTGTCTAGCTTGTTGCCATTCCCCCGCACCTTTAAACAGAACTGTCGGTTACTTACGGTGCATAAAGATGTTCGACGTACATACATTTATGTGACCACTCTGCTTTCATCCCACACGAAGCCAAACGTTCATTAAAGGAATTGGCCAAACATCCCTGCTTAAATATAAAAAAAAATTCAGCTTTCCTGGATACATCGTATTATTGCAGTAATGTGGAGTGGGAACGCAATGTTTATCACGTGACAGGACACTACAAACCCTGCTGCCACCGACGTGAGTTCGATCACAGCTAACGGTCCATTCTATTTGGGATTTACAAAGCGCCCTTTCCAGGGAGTTCTAAAATGCAAGACGGCCAATGGCAAGTGGCGTCCGAAATCAATTCTGAAGGCCCTCTCCCCCCCCCCCTCCCCCGTGCCCCCGCTCTTCATCCTGCCGACCACTACGGTGAAATATGGTCAAACAACCCTCATGGCTAACGTAGCAGGGGGAGGCCTTCATCCAGCGTGGTTCTTCGGCTGCTCGCCGGGCAGCATTGGCTTCCGGTCGCCGAACGCGTGCGTCCTAAGGTGGCGCTTGTTGCACACACAAAGTGCTTGGCACACGGGAGCCACGACAGCTCGCCGACGTCGTCAAGGAGCATTGGACCATCACGAGAACCACGGTCGTCATCCTCGCAGCAGGGGTGTGTAGTGTGGGTTCACGTGGAGATAATGCAGAGTGGGTTCATGATGAGATAATATAGAGTGGGGAATACAGAGTGGGTTCACGTGGAGATAATACAGAGGCGGAGGGAATAGAGTGGGGAATAGAGAGTGGGTTCACGTAGAGATAATGCAAAGTGGGTTTACAAGGAGATAATACAGAGTGGGTTCACGTGGAGATAATACAGAGTGGAGGGAATATAGAGTGGGAAATACAGAGTAGGTTCACGTGGAGATAATGCAGAGTGGGTTCACAATGAGATAATGCAGAGTGGGTTCACAAGGAGATAATACAAAGTGGGTTCACGTGGAGATAATGCAGAGTGGGTTCACGTGGAGAGAATACAGAGTGGGGAATGGAGAGTGGGTTCACAAGGAGATAATACAGAGTGGGTTCACGTGGAGAGAATACAGAGTGGGGAATGGAGAGTGGGTTCACAAGGAGATAATACAGAGTGGGTTCACGTGGAGGGAATATAGAGTGGGGAATAGAGAGTGGGTTCACGTGGAGAATATACAGAGTGGGTTCACGTGGAGAGAATACAGAGTGGGGAATAGAGAGTGGGTTCACGTGGATATAATACAGAGTGGGTTCACAAGGAGATAATACAGAGTGGGTTCACGTGGAGGGAATATAGAGTGGGGAATAGAGAGTGGGTTCACGTGGAGATAATACAGAGTGGGTTCACGGGTTCACGTGGAGATAATACAGAGTGGGTTCACGTAGAGATAATGCAGAGTAGGTTCACAAGGAGATAATGCAGAGTGGATTCACAAGGAGATAATACAGAGTGGGTTCATAGCGAGAAAATAGGGAATGGGTTGACAAGGAGAGACGTCTAATTGGACCAATTCGTAGAAGGCAGGAAGAGATCTGTCGTGGGCATATTGTCAGAGGGATGAGGGCTTGCTACACAAGGATGAATGCTGGGGGAAATTGCCATGAAGTAGAACTACAGGAAGCCGCGTGGTGACTTCAAGCGAGGCAGCAGGTGCCCCCGTACGATGCAATTAACACGAGGCTCAAGATTGGAGAGGGTGGCGGCAAACTTTAATCAAGAGTCACCACCGAGGCAAATCAAGAAGAACAGGGTGTGAGCTGGCGATTACCTTGCTGACCTCGTCAAGGAGCGTAAATCATCGCGAGATCTCCGATCTTCATCCCCGCAGCTGCAGCGGCGGCGACGTTTGGCTGCTCGCCATCGAGCAAAGATGCGCTTCTGCGGCCGTCTGGAACGCTCTTCCCTTCCGATGTTAGGAAGCCACTGGAGCTATATATTGAAATTGTATTTCTTTAGAACTGCTTTTTCGTGTAGTTTGTTGTCCTTCCTCCGCACCTCCGATTAGCACTGTTGACGACGTACGGTGCGAAAGAAGTTCAACATACATACGTGCAATGTCTGCAACTCATTATAATGTACGATTAAAATCACACTGCACAATCGCTCGGCACATAACACGACACTTATAATCACACCAAATAGTTGATATCTCTGCACTTGTTTGTATACACACACGTATATATTATACATTCATTTTTTGGCTCTGGCTCAGACAGATCGCGAGCTCACTGGGCGCCCTGCCAGTAATGGAGAGGAGGGTGGTGTTGTTTGTTGCGGTGGTGATGTTTTCAGACTTTGTTTACATCATGGGGCCGTCACGGCTTGACCAAAGCCTTTACCACCTCCCAGATCCCCCGAGCAATCAGCACGCAGCGGTTTTTGTTCGTTAGGGGGCTGTGAATAACTCGAGTATTGCGGTGGGGTAGGGGGCAGGAGGGTGGGGGGGTTAGGCCACGCAAGGCGGCGGTGTCGTGGGGAGGAATGATGCATAACCGAGCATTACCTCTGCCCGACCACGGCCTTGAGCTAAGTGAAGTTAACCGTCTGTAACTCTGCACGTTTACGTGCCTCTAAAGGCGTGGTTTTAAAACAAAAAAAGTGCCTTTCTAAATATGTGTATTTCTATATATATAAATCGATGCGTAGTGTATACGTTCGTCCGAACTCACAAGCGCGCACGCGGTGTAAATATGCAGGGTTTTTCTTTGTTGCGTAGAAAATGAGTGGAAGTCGTGAACCCCCTTTTGTGTGTGTGTGTTTGTTTTTTTTGTGCGTGGGTTGTCAGGCGCCTTGTCCCCAATAGCTCGGCGATGGAATGGGCCACACGTCTTCAAGAAGGATCCCTTCATTAAAAAAAAAATTGTCTTGAGACTCGGTGAGGCTTTCTCGGGATCGAGAATGGCTACGTTATCATCAGTTCGAACGTCAACACCCTCCTTGTTATGCCTCGGCTTCAAAAGTAATTCTGGTCGTAAAAATGTATCCGTTGCATTATACCTACCCACTGCTACGTTGTCAATTGATAGAATCAGTTACTTTAAATAAGTGAACAGTTAGTTTGCTCCTTCGGTAGATAAATGTGTTCTTCTATGCATTCATGTATATATTTTTCAGGCTAACTTGAACGGAGAGATCCAGTGAACTCCGAAATTCTGCTTATGGAGAAATAAAGTCAACTCTTTGAGTGAGAATATAGATATTTTTAGCTAATGAGTCATTGTGGATCATAGTAAACTTAGGCAAAATTTGGGCCACTGCTTCCAAACAATTGGCGATCCTTACGAACGATGGATAATGCATCCGTGTTTTTTTAGCATCCACCTCTTACTAACTATTGTAGGAATAATCGTATATGAAGCAAATGGCACTCCAGCAAACCCTGAATATTCGCGGGTGGTACGTTCCTGGGGAACGGCGCGTATATTACATCTGCGAATATGAATACTCGAAGCTCCACGAGGAAAAAATAGGGGGGAGGGGCATAGACATGTTTTTAAACACACTGCCACGTGGAGAAACATGCAAACTCCAAATATGCAAGCGTCAGGGTCTGGATCGAACCCACGACCTCCTGTATACTAGGCAAGATAGTTAACATCTCACCCCTATGATGCATATTAATGACAAGTTTTGAGGCCACGAACGGTGCTGGTTTTGTGGTGAGCATCCTGGCCACGAGTACGAAGAACCTTCAGAAAAAAAGAGAGAGAAAATTCCCGAAAATTATTCTGTGGGCGAAAATGAGAATTATGATAATTGTATGATAGTTATGATAATTATCATAAAGTTATCATAATTTGTTTCCAGCTCCAATATTAAAATTAGATGTGTAATAGAAGAAAATGCTTGCTCTGTGCGTGCCTGTTTTTTTTTTAATTCCATTATCCATTCACCTCTTATGATAAGCATGAGTTTGACTTGTCATTGTGGAACTTGCTTTTACATTTTTGTGGTCCTCTTCGCAATTTTATTAATATTATGGTGTTACCATAACGTCGTCAAACACAGTCTCCATTTAGAACTCAAATAGCACAGTGCGTCACTTTAAGGTGTTCGAGAACGGCCTGTGAAATGCTTCTGATGTTCGTTTGTTGAAGTAACATCGTGTTTTTTTATTTACATATACTGGGTGGAGCGCTATTCTCGATGCCCAGTCACAGGCAATTGTTCATCACTTCGCAGTAAAACCATCAAACATAAATTCTCCAGAAATGGAATTTCACCAAAGACTCGCTACTCTTCAGAACGGATTTATTCATAGGCGGCTGAAATCATGAACCCACGACCTCCTGTATACCAGGCGATGTAGTTAACATCTCCTAGCCACCGTGGTGATAAGAGAGAGACACGCAAACTCCAAATGTACAGCAGGCGTCAGGGTCGGGATCGAACTCACGACCTCCTGTACACCAGACGATGTAGTTAACATCTCGCCACCGCAACCCCTCCCGCCCCCAGCCAAAGCAGAAATACGAAGGAACATTCTGATTCAATCGCCGTTAAGATGGCCAAACTGACCGCGACGGAGCTTCGTGGACGAAAAACAAAACGCACGGCGCGAGTGGCGGTCGGCGGAGTTTCTGGGAAAACTCGCGTGTCACGCTTCGAGCTCCGAGAACGCAAAGACAACAACAAAAGCAACAAAATTAAGTCGCCTATGTTGTGTGTTGCGCTTCGAGCTCCGAGCTCGTGAAAATGTTTTAGGCCATCACCAGCTGCGACATTGTCCCTCGGTATTATAATGATTCAAAATGTGCGCGTACGTACAAGCCCCAACACGTTGTAACTGCTGGGAGGTCTGGCGCGTTATTATATATTTTTTTTATTATTATTTCCGTGAGGTTGTTTGCGGCGTGTGGGGTAATTGTTGAGTGTACGGCCGAACAAAAGATTGCCGGGGCCTTGGGACAGCAGTATGGGTTTCTGTGTTCCGTGCCCACCCATTCAACTAAAAACGACGTACAATGCAATAGAATTAAATATGGCACAGTACCGCAGTGTTTGTGAATCAAGGCCCTGTCTTGCCCTTTCTTGGAAATCGCCCGCACAGCATGAACGTGCCTTGTAGCTGAAATTATAAAAGAACAAAAATATAATTATTGTTAGAATTGAACAATGTCTTGTTTAGCTAACAAAGGATATCCGCTGGTGCTGTGAACACTTCCTAATAACATCCTGCCAGGCGAGTGAATTGTTAGTCTCCAAATATTCTCTCCAAAACGAGAAATGATGTTCCAAGGCAATTATGGACACAATCGAAGAAGGAGCGAACAAAAAGCATGAAATGTATCAATACAATGGCAACGTTGCCAAATCTTTATTAACAAATGTTATTGTTGCCGTTAGAATAATGAATACGGTCTGCTGCAAATAACTTAAAGGAGAGAAACAATTTTGGTGCGCATAAGTCCACAGTTGCAATACGAATGACCTTAACTTATCCATGAAAACCCTCACTGACCTTTAAAGAATCCTATGTAGGAGGGTCCTGCATTGGGATGTTTGGCCTATTTTCATTAGCGGATGGTTTTTTTTGCTATGTGTGGGAGGAAACCGGAGCACCCAGAATGAACCCATGCATGCGCGAGATAAAGACTCAACCTGCTTGCAGTACTGCCATCTCTCGGTCACCTTGGGGCCCGAGTGGCGTTTGGGGCGTTTAACAACTATGTGTGTCTGTGTGTGCGTGCGAGATCCACCATGAATTGTCTCCACATTGCTGGATGACAGACAAGCGTACTCAACAGTGCCTGCCCCTTATTTGTATAGCCAAGAAATCCTGACTGAGTTTCGGGGACGTATTTATTTTTCATGAGAATCCGGGTGTGTGTGTGTGTTAGGCCCAATACCTTGTGGATTTTTTTTTCGTTCTAGATACTTTTGAATGTAAGATGAAACTGAAAGCATCCCCAAAGCAAACCCACCACATCATTCACGGCAAGAACACTCCGGGTGTTAGAGAGATTTTTGGTCCTAAATCGGGCCTGTGGTATCCAAGCAAATAGAGTGCATGGCTCGAGGATGGTTTCTCTTTTAGTTTTGATTCAGACGCTGGACAACGCCCCCTCCCCCCCCGAGCCCCTCGGCGTGACGTCTCTCGCCTCTTTGTCTCTCTTGCACTCGCTACTCTCCTTTGTCGACGTTTCTTCTCTCTACCCTCTCTCGGGAGACGTGCAAACATTTTCTTTTTTACGGAGCAATGTGCAATTTTATTCAGACACTGTGCTTTTCTTGCTGCGGTCTGGGAATGGGTTTGTTTTTGTTGCTGCTGCCATGCCCAAGCTTGCATTTGATGTTTAAAAAAAAATCGACAGGAATTGATATACTTCTGCAATATATACCCATATTTTATTTTTTTAATTTTTTAGTGGCTTGCTTGTGCATCCTATGCGTCGCAACACCTATCGGTTTTTTGTGTTCTTTGTTGTTTGTAACTTTGTAACCCGCCCCTACTAGACATCTGTGAAAAAAGAGCTTCACAGCTCATCGGATTGCTCCAGGAATAAATACAGATTCTGATTCTGGGTTGCTGCCGCGATGTGACGGTCAGCGCACTGGACCCTGCAGCCCAGAGGCCGCCGGTTCGGCTCAATCTCCCGGCGTGACAGTTTTAATCCCCCTCCTACGCCTCTGTCCACCCAGCGATATGAATGGGTTCAGCACAGGCAGTCGATCGGCAGGTCACGCGCAGTGGGGTAAAGTGTGGACACTCTCACCTTTCCAAGACGCCTGGCCAGCATGGAGGAGTAGGCCAAAATATGCTTTAGAGGGGGTAATCTCTAGAACTCCCCCTGCTGAGAGAGGCCATTCCACCAACAGTGGCGTGAACGCGTTATTTCAGGGCTGCACCCTGGACCACGTTCATTCCCTCTCTCACAACCGTAGCCTCCATCTCTCTAAGAAGGCTTCCGAGCCGCGCGTCTTCTTCCACCGGTGAAATCAAATATGACTCACGCTTAGGGGGTTTTGCCGCGCCCTGTGGCAAGGCTAATGGGACTGTAACGGGATGCCAGGGAGCAATCCTAAACATCGCCCTCCCAGACGGCTTGGCAGTGACTCACAAAAAGAACGCTCGCAGTCGCACGTTCTGACCCATGAAACGTGAACGCCTCGAGAATGCTGTTGAGAGGCATGAGAGGTGACCCGCAACACAAATCAAACAACCGCGTGCATCGTTCCTCCCTTTGTTGTCTCTTCGATGAGCTCAGCCTTTGCTCATTCCGCGTCTCTCTCTCTCTTCCCTCGTAAGGCTCGATCAGCGACGAAGGCCATGTGGCTCACAGGTAAGTTTTGGTGTTTGCGTATTATGGTAAAAATAATTTATAATAGTAAAAAACAATAGGAAGACTTTCATGTTGGTATAATGCGAGGCATTTCTTAAATCATGCAGTTTAAAACAGTAAGATGTAAGCATATATTAAGGGTGCATCGATTAATCGATTGATATTGATTTTCCACTGCATTATTCACGCATTCAACTTCGTATGTAAGAATATTATTTGTTATTTATATGTTTTATGCCACAGTTTCATATCATCCCTGCAGGCGCTTTAGGCAGTACCATTCCCTCTAACGTCAAAACATGAATTGGTCATCATCATTATATTTTATTATGAATTGGTCATTGAATCGGGTTGTGGCCTTAAATCACGGAAATTCGTCGAATCTCTGGAGATGTAAATTGTTCCAATCCTAATCTATATATTGCACAATTAATGTGTGTTGAATAAAGCTAATTCCACCTGGTCCTTTGGAAGTGTTTTTGGTTTTCGGGCCTGTGCTCAGCAACTGTGTTAAATAAAACATACCCCCTGGTTCTTTGATTTAGTCCAAAAAAGGACGCGTGACGAAAATTGCTCAAGTAAGTTCCGTGACCATCACGCTCACTCACAGGTGGACAACTTAGCTGAGTACAACATGCAGCTAAATGACGGTGTCAAGGTCTGCGAGCCATGCGAGAGAGAGAGGGCTTCAGGATCGATTTAGTGGTACTTCCTTTTTTTGCAATTCCTCCTCCGTTAAAGGAGCACAGACTACAATGGTTTACCGTATTGCCAATCATTTGGGGTGCGTGGCCACAATCGCACTGTGGCTATTCCTTAAATACCTCATTCGAGTACGCGCTAGCTTTACACAATGGATGTCACGGCTCCGCTTGCCAGCGATTTGATACATTCTCGCACGTATCCATTGAGTAATTGATTATGCATTTTTGGGGTCTTTGTACGCACAACATTTTGTTACTCGGGTGCTGGCGATCACTGACGGACGAACTGTCCACGTGGAGTGTTCCCCCCCACCCACCCCCAGTACGATGTGCACGTGCGTATGCGGAGTTTATGAAACGCGGTGTAGTTACTGCTTGGTAACCATGCTGCTGTTGTGGTGGTGGCTACGGTTTTATCGCTAAGCACCGAGCGAGCAAACGGGAACTCCGGCGCGTAGCGAGACGGGGCCGAGACGGCTCGCTTCTTCCCTGCGAGCTTCTATTGTGCCAAGGTCCACAGTGGGGGGGGGGCAGGGGAGGGGGGTGGCAGGGGTTGGGTGATGGGCTCGGCGGGGGTCGCGTCTCCGTCAAGCCCGAGCTTGCCCCGGCGTGCGCCCGTGTTTGCGCAACGCCGCGAGGAGCGTGTCGCCTCCTCGCCCTTTGTGATCCCAGCGGAACACCGAACCGTGCCGTGCCGCGCGCGTGAGTGCGTTGGCGCGGGGAGCGGTAGCGCAGCGACCCCGGCGTTTCCCGAGTTCGATTCACGCTCATGGTCAACACCACGTGACGATTATCCGAACGGGTCCCGGGCCTCCCTTCGGTCGACTCAGCCTCAAACGAGTACCTGGTGCGGTGTGTAAACATCGCCACTGGGGAGACAAAGGCGGCCGGGCGTGGTGCTGGCCACCCACTCCCTCGTGTACCGTCCCTGCCTTCATAGTTGCTCGCGAACAGCACTTGCCCCAACAGTATGTCAAGGCTATAGTGGGGGGGTGGAATCTTTGTCTTTGTGTGTGTGTTGGCGCGGTCACCGAGTACGGGAACGAATTATTTGGCGATGCTGCTGGCTGCTGCTGCTGCTGGGTGAGCAGTGGCGAGCACAAATGAAAACGAAACGACTCCCCACGTTCGCAATAAAGCTGCCCCCTAAAACAGGAACTAACGTGCAATAGTTGATATTTTGGGCAATGGCCCTTCCACCAGAGCGGAGGGAACGGCACGTATTGTTTCTTTACTTTTTTGGTTTCATCGGCCAGGGGTTTTTGACTTGTGGAGTTGCAGGGTTTTTGTTATTTGTGCCAATAAATCTGTGGTCTGTGGTTCCTCGCGCATCTGAGTGTTTCATGCTCTCTGGGAGAGGAGAATTAAACGAGTTTAAGTTATTATTATTATTACGATGTCACCTCGGGTTGGTTCTGTAACTTGCCTCCTGCCAGCGAACCATTAACGACACATCCCTTGGCTTCGCAGTGAACCTAGCCTGGTACAAGCGCTGTGGTGACGTCTTCGTCACTTAGTAGCGAATGCCATGTTTTGTTGTGTGTGTGTGTGTGCATGCTCTCCACATATAATATATATGTCAAGACGACTGGGAAGAAATCACAGGTTGTGTGTTTGCGTGCAGCGGTGGGCGCTGGAGTAAGCGCGCTGCGCTACGAACCCGGCGACTTCAGTTCGATCCCCGCTCACGGCGCAACAGCAACGACGATTATCTGAACCGGTTCCGGGCCTCCCCTAGGTCGACTCAGCCTCAAACAAGTACCTGGCGCGATGAGTAAACATCGCCACTCGGGAGACAAAGGCGGCCGGGCGTGGTGTTGGCCACCCACCGACTCGTGTGCCGTGCCAGCGTTCATAGGGTGCTGCTCGCTAACAGCACTTGCTCCAAAAGTGTGTCAATGATATACGGGGGGATCTTTGTCTTTGCCTCTTGACGCAATGGTTCGCGCACTGCACTGCGAACCTGACGACCTGGATGTTGATTCCCGTCTGCGGTTAACGTCAGTCGCGAGTGAACCGGTCCAGGGACTTCCCCATGGCCGACTCGGCCTTAAACGTGCGTCTGGCGCAAATGTGTAAAAATAAAAAAGAAACCCCATCGCAACTGACGAAACAAACCTGTCCAGCCACGGTACTTCTCACTCCACCCGTTCGTGCGCGCCCTGTAGGCTTTAATAAGTACTCACGGCACTTACCTCAACAGTCTGTGTAGGCTATACGGGGGGAACTTTTGTCTTTGTCCTCACCACCACCACCACCACCCAACCAAACACCGCTGCCAACCACGTGAGTCTGACCTCAGCAATCTCCGGGCAAACCCGACGCACACCCACGGCTTCTCGCCAAACACAAACACGCGCTTTGGAAGGAGGGGGCTTTTAGTGCGTTACAAACATCGAATCCTCGGGTGGGGGGCGGGAGAGGGTGAGATTACGCTCGGTTGGGCAACAGCATGAACCAGTGTGTGTGCGTGTGTGGCAGCAGTCCGCAGAGATGGGACTAAGCAAATAAATAAACAGCATCGTGTGTGCGCGCGCGTGCGTGATTAGGCGGTGTAGCGGCCAGCGAGCTGCGTTACAAAACCCCGGTGACCCGATGTCGATTGCCGCTCACAGCCAACGCCAGTGACGATGATCTGAATCGGTTCCTGGGCCTCCTTCCCTAGGTCGACTCGGTCTCAAATGAGTACCTAGTGCGATGTGTAAAAAAAAAAACCCATTGCCGCTAGGGAGACAAAGGCGGCCGTGCGTGGAGCTGACCACCCACCCCATCGTGTGCCGTTCCGGCCTTCATAGGTGCTACTCGCTAACAGCACTTGTCCCCAACAGTCTGTGAAGGCTACACGGGAGACTTTTTTCTTCTTCTTCAAATCTTTGCTTATGGATAGAAGTGTCCCCGTGAAGGACTTTCAGCTGTCCTGGCAATGTTTCCCCTTCATGCCTCCTTCGGAGTGATTGCTCTTGCCATTGACGTGCGCATCCACGTACAATTGTTTGTTCAGCGCACAGCATCGCGTTACATTGCGAGAGTTTCCCAGCGTCCCCAAACGTTGACACGTGACCTAGCGCAGGGGGGTGGGGGGTGGGTCGACAACCTTTGAAAGAAGAAGAGACACACTTATGTATTTATTTGCTTCTCTTTCTGACCAAAATTATTCGAGAGCCGTATCGCACGCCGAGCTGTTTGTGCGCCAAACACAGCAGCAGGTATGGAAACAAATTAGGAATAAGTTTGACAGCAGATGACAAACATTTCTGACTTAAATGAACAACATAGGTGATGGAATTTTAGTTCGTTGTACCCCTTAGTTATTCTTCAACAATTTAGTTTGACTGTTGTACATGTTGCTGTCACTAAGAGTTTAATTATGTTTTAAGATGTAAGTTTGTTTCATTAAGAAACAGCTGCCCGCAAAGGGGCAGCCCAAGAGCCGCATGCAGCTCCGACCCCTGGGGCTTAGCGCTTTGTTGCAGAGGTTAACGGTTCGACTCCAAGCGGCCGCCCCGGATATTACTACGGGTGTAATCATGAAAAAATAACGATACAGAACTACACAGTGGACGTTAAAGATGCCCTGACGTTGTTCCCAGGAGTAGGCCATTGTGTTCCGCGTCGTTAGTGTCCACATAGTTTTCTCAATTCGAAAAATGGCACCGCAAGTGACTCAACTGAAATGTTTACACGCAGCAGCAGCAGTAGCAGCAGTAGTAGTAGCAGCAGTAGCAGCAGTAGCAGCACCAGTAGCAGCAGTAGCAGCAGTAGCAGTAGCAGCAACTAGCAGCAGCAGCAGTAGCAGCAGTAGCAGCAGTAGCAGCAGCAGCAGCAGGCAGAAAAATGTCACATGCCACTCTTGCAAGTGTGCCGTACCCTGGTTTCTCCCCATGTATCCAACTGCTTAAACAAAATAAACTTGTCGAGCATAGTGGTAATGTTACATTAGTACGTAAGCAGCTTTTGATACCATGTTTTATTGTTCAGCTGAGGAGCGATTCGATGAATTTGGAGTAAAAAAAAATAAGAATCGACAACGTGTTGTCTAGTTTTTTCTCTCGTTATATTTTTCTCACTTACTTGTATCTCATTTGTACAGTTGTGTTTGGTCGATTAGCCTACATGTAAATGGACAAATCAATGGCTTATAATTTGTATAAATAATATATATAAGTACTTTAAGGATTCCTAAATGCCCTGTCATATATGAAGGTTTGATTAACCATACTTTCCCACTCTGGTCACTGTGGGTAGGTGAAGGTGGAGGGTCCAAGACCAGACGTCACTCGCCAGTACATGTTAATTGTGTCCAGGAATCGAACTCAGGCCACCAGGTTCACAGCACAGCGCACCAATATCGCCACGATCACTCCACACCATTCCAAACACACGTACAGTATATACAGAGCCGAACACAAAACACAAAATCGAACTCAGGCCACCAGGTTCACAGCACAGCGCACCAATATCGCCACGATCACTCCACACCATTCCAAACACACGTACAGTATATACAGAGCCGAACACAAAACACAAAATACAGACGCACCAGGTAAATCATTTACTGGCTTTCAGTAGTTACATTACAGGGACCTTGTTTAATTATGATTCGATGAGCAGCCAAGGACTTTTGTGACTTTATTATACGGCATTTGCGATTGCCAGAGCTTCCTAAAGTATTTTAAAATTTATTTTATAGTGTCAGTAGAGTAGCCAGAAACAGGATACATTTTCTTTAGCCTAGAAATCTACACGGCCGACAAATTACTGTTGTGTTGAGCACGAGACCAAAAGCCCTTCACAACGTTATAGACTGAATCCGTTTCAAATGTCAACATTATTTAGTTGAACCAGGCGAGAATTCAAGAGACCACGAGAGAGTCTAATTTGCAAGATTGATCTGAGCATTCATTTTCCCGTAGTGTGTGTGTGGGGGGGGGGGGGGGGTAATCCCAATTGAGTAAATTGGCAAAACAAACTTTCGTTACGTTTCCGTCAAACTTGGTGACTGGGCGCGCGGTCGGTCGGTCGATCGATCGCTGGACGCGCGAGGCACCAATCGAGACAACAACGACAACTACGAGGACGACGACAAAATGTGAACCGACACGCGAGTTCCCCGTGGCCAACCAACTAACCCCACGCACAAAAGAAAATTCCGACGAGTAGACTCAACAAAGCTCTCCTCGGGGGTCAGAGGTCACTTTATCCGAGGTTGCGTTCCGGGATGCAGAGAGCGAGCACGCACGCACGTGCATTGCGGCCCTAAGCATCGTACGGGAGAGCACGTGGGACTTTAGTTTTTATTTATTATTATTACTACCCAATGGTTCCGTTTCGGATTATCCGTCCGTGACATGCGCTGTGTTTTTTTTTGTGCGCGCGTGTGTGTGCCCGAGGCGGATTGCACGACTTAAACAATTAAAATTTATTTTAAAAAATTAACGGAACGATAGGCCGAAGTCGCCGTCAAGTTTTTTGTTACGTATATATGTATTCATAGCACGCCGTTATTTACAGATTTCACAGCTGCAACCGTTAAGAAGGCTAAGAACAGCACGATTGCGATGCTTATTTTACAGCCAAGGCATGATGATAATAATTCTAATAATCGAGTGCGCTTCATACGTACGTGAAACGGCTCAATCTTGTGTCTCAAGATTATTTTTGAAGAGGGTCCTGCATTGAGATGTTTGGCCAATTCCGCTCATGAGCGATTTGGCACGTGGGGAAGAATCTGGAGTAACCGGAGTGAACCCACACCCACGTACGTGAGGATGTTATCTCCGAATAAATTAATAACTGTGGAATCTATATAAAACCCACAGGAAATTCGGGGATACAACTAAAAGCTTCGCACACACACACACATATATATATTCAAGAATACATTGCAGCAGAGCCCAAGCCGAAAACACACACCCGGTATTTGTAGGTTATGCGTCCCACCGTAAAACACTAACCCAGGCTAATTGTACCTGCTGAGCTTTCAACATACGATGACAGTCGGGCACATTCAGAGCAATTTGGCCGGCGGGCAGTTCGGCAAAAAAAAAGTTACATTCATATTTAAGCTAAACAACTTTGACGTATTAACGTATGGCCCGTTGTCAATCCACAGGAGGAGGAGGGAGGCCTCATCGGGGGAAACGTCGGTCGCGCCGTGACGGTTGCCCGAAGCAGACATCACCACTCTGGCCATTGTGGTTGAGTGTCCAGGGAGGGTCTGGGGGGTCGGAGCGCCCACCCCCTCCCCGCCCACGTGCTCTGTGTGTCAGCTGCATCGAGCCGCTCGCGTCTCGCGGCCGTCTCTCCGTGGCATCAAGTGCCCCATTTCACTCGGGGTGGGGTGGGGGAGGGACTGTGCCGCGCAATTATTCCCGCTAGTTAAATCTTGGTCACGCGGCACCACCCCACAAAAGGCTGCTTTTTTTTCTTCATCAACGGTGGGGTGTCATGGGATCTCTGGCGTTGAGCGGGCCTGCGTGTGAGCGCACATTCGAATAAAGGGCCCCCTTGATTATGTTTAATTCGCGCCACGAAGCATTGTCATGAGGGGTGTCTTGCTCGAGGCCAGAGGCTCTTAGGACGAGCTAACAAGTGCCACTGTTGATCATTGTGCACATGAAGAGCTTCCTTTCATCTGTATGGATGCGCACTCGCAGGACTGTTTTTTTTTATTAGGTGCCGGTCTTTCAAATGTGCTCACTGTAACAGCACTCGCCACAACAGTCGCTTAAGGTTATACGGGCGAAGCGGAGTCTCTGTATGACAACATTGGGGAGTGGTAGAGCAGTGGTCAGAGCAGTGCGCTACAAACCCATAAGCCACGGGATCACGTGAGTGATGTGTGATATCGGAACTGGTCCCAGGCTTGGGCAGGCCACGTCCTTTGAAGGGTTGACGGCCCACGGTTCAGGAATGACGGCGGACCGGCGGCCGACAAATTGAAACTCTTTCGAGAGAAAGTGACCGGCCGCGGAGATGGAGCGCCGAAATCATCTCGCGCGCGTGCCCAGGTGTACCCCTACGCAGCAGCAGCAACGCGAGTAGTGGCGCCGGCTTGGGGAGGTCTTTATCCAGCAGCGGATGGATCATGGCTAATGATGAGGATGTCCGAAAGATGTCTCCGTAGGCTTGTATTTTTTTGTTTGTTTTTTGGTTTGAAGCAGAGAGAAGAGCAACACCCAGGAAGCAGCTGTAGTGTCGAGGTCTCGATCGAGCAGCAACCGTCTTCAGCCCTTCTGGGGGCCCTCTCGCGTGACCTTATTGAACTAAGGTGGTGTGGGTGGGGCACACACACGCTAGAGGGGAGCACGACTTAATCAATGTGGAGAACAGGAGGTCGGCGAACCAAACATAACAAGACGAGACGTTCTTTTTTTGTTCTAAGTCGGTAAAACAAACGAAAAAACCCCACCTCAATATTTCAGAAGCCGCACAATGCAACGGTGGGTGAATACGAGGCACGGCGTTGGGTCCTTGCTACACGACGTCGCGATGCAGTCCTTAAACAGGAGCACGCCGCTGCGGAGTGCGCAGGTTTGCCGACCCCCCCCCCCTGCCCACCCGGTGTATTGGCACATGTAGAGGACCACAGAGCTTGGAGGGAATTTGACACCGGTTCACCGTCGCCTCTGACGTTCCGCTCGCCTGTGGTTC